ATGCAAATGTACATGCTACTAATGGATGGAAAAAATGCCCCCTGACAAATCGAGATTTACTTGCGTGATCTGTACATGTGAACCAGTTATGCGTTATTGTTGCTGTTCAACACCTTCAAATCCAGTCAGTTGCACAGTTACTGTATGGTTTTGACATTAAGCGTTTTGAGACTGTGTCCCATTCATCAGTGCTTCAAATACATATTTTTCTATTTATAAAAGCACTCAAGGCACACTGCACACAAAGAATGCAACCACTTGCTGCACAGAAGTATATGAAGGCTATCACATGCACCGTCACATGCTTGTATTAGGGTTTTAATTTTTTTTTTCATGATTACAGAAAGCATTCAGTAGCCTGGTTCTCTCTCTCTCTTCTTTCTTTCTGTTTCTCCCCTTGAGGTTTTCTCAATGCACATTAGATTTGGTTTATTGACCTACCTATAGAGAAGACAGAGTAAGTTTGTGGGATGAAACTTACTATTTGTATTTAATGTCAAAACTAGTTTAATGCATGTTTGCTATTTAGTGAACAATATGTTTAATATCCACAATAAATATCATCTAAATGCTAATATAATCTATGTGATGTCATGTATGGCAAGAAATCTAATTCAAATGAGAGAGAGAGAGAGGCATTTCAGAGGGAGAGAAGACGAGAGGAAGAGCCAAAGTGTTTATTTGGATGTGGGGAGGAAACATGCAATATGTAGCAGCAGTTCTTTAATGATCCAACTCTGGGAAACCACATTTTTCCTGAGTCATTAATTCACAGCACAAAATTTTTGGAACCACTTAAGTGTACTTCACAAAAATAGTTCTAAATTATACAATGCCTTATACTTTGCTTGTGTACATGCCCAAGAGGCAGAACTGATCCTATGACACTTTTACATTGATAAGAGTAGGTCTCATGTCTGTAAAAAAAACTGGTGCCCCTGGCATATATATATGTGTGTGTGTGTGTGTGTGTGTTATTTATGGTGTATAAGTTTATAGTAAATGATACAGGCACAAGCAACACAACCTACTGAAAACTAGTGTTAACTAGGTTGTCAACTTGTAATTTCCATTAAACACATCAAAAACAAGGACATTTTTTACAAGATCAAAACTGAAGAAAAGAAAAAAAAGGTTGTGTGGGGCTAAATGACAACTTTTGTTGATGCATTAGTCTTTAAACTCTTTTTAAAAAAAGGGAAGAAAACTATCTGGTAGGGACAAAGCTGAGATCATGTGAACTGGAGGAAACAAATGAGTTCAAGAGCCAATCATAACCAAAAGATCTATTTAGGTTGACTGAAATATTTTGATATGTCGTCAAAAATAAAACTAAACTAAAAGTAAAACACTTCAATGAACTAATTTGGTAGTACAACTAAGTTACTGTTTAGACAGAAGAATAAACCAAAATCTGTTATCACAGCTAAGACAACTTAATACTGATCATTTTCTGTTGATGCTGCATTTGTTAACAAAGCACTGCTGCACAGTCCGCCAAGGACGGATTAGTGGGAGAGGGAGGAACTGCCTGCATTTAATGTTGCACCAAGATGAACGTCTGCAGTTCTCCTAAGAATTCTTGTAAATGTGATGGTGAATTCCAAAGCGTCCTGACTCGCCTTAAGCAGTGAGATGTGGAGATGATCATTAGTAGCACAATGTCTAAGTAGTGTGAAAGTTAGGCAGTATTAGTGGAAAATCTACCAGCGGCATCGCTACTAAAAATGTGTTAGCATCAGAGCATCTTATCTATAGAACTTCCACGTCACGGCACCTTTTATTCTCCGTGTCATGTTTTTTATGAATTCAAACTTAGTACGCCTAAAAAGTCACAACAGGTTGTTGGCATTCAACTGATGAGGAGTAGCAACAACAAGAGCTGCTAATAGTGCCCATGCACAGTTGGCATTCAGTAGTAGAGAGTTCTTAGTTTTGCTTCAACATTTTTATGATACCCCGCTTGAAAGCGGAGTAAATAAATGATTGTTTTATTTTTGTAATGGTTGGAATGGCAACAAAACACAGCACCTGCTTGCATACAAATGCATTAAAATGTAATAAAATGTCAGCAGACAGGCATTGATATTTTCACTGCTCTTACTGCCACACAGTTAGTTAATAACATCGGGTTAAATTCGTTTTATATAGGTCTTTAGTGAGCTAAATACGCCAGTCCTGATGAACCACTCCCTGCTCCCTGAGCATACTGTATGTGCCTGTACTTGTTGCAGCCTTTCCAGTTGTTCATCTAAAGTGATGTATTCATAATTTATCACAGCTACACCCCAGCTGCAGCCTGCTGTTTTTCCTCGCCCCAAGATACCATATCCATTCTGCCTGTGTAGCAGACTGAAACAAATATGAAATAAAGCCAAAACAACTTGTTGGAGTAGACCTGACCTTATTTTAACTCTGGTACATAAACATGCATTGCTTTACCTTCATTATGCATTTGCATTTGTAGATTAGCATTAGCTCCCTCGGGTACAGTTTGCAGCCAAGTGTGAGGCAGCCAGGATAATGATCAGCTCCTCTAAATCTCAAGCTAATGTTTTCAGCTGGAGCCGGAAATGGGGAGATGAATCAGAGCCGCATCTGGGATGAAGTTAAGCCATACGCAAAGCTCTCAGTTAATCAGCCCCATTTTTGTCCCAACCATCATCTATAGTCATGAGCTTTGGGAATTAAAAAAAAAAGATATATACATGCTCCACATGGTGACTGGGGGTCACCAAGTAAGGATGATCTTTTGTAAGACTTGTAAGAACTATGCAAAATACCATTACCAACTCAAATGGTTTCGTGGATCTCACAAACTGAGTTATCTTAAATAACAGAATACATAGTCTGGTCTTGTTTACCTTGCTTTAAATACTTTGAATATATTAAATACGAAAGATGACAGTGTGTCATTATATCTTTAATGAAGAGGGCAGACATCTAGGAGAGACTTAAACAAAAACTGCTGTTCTACCAGATTAGGAGGAAACCGCTGAGGTGGTTTGGGCATCTGGTCTGAAATCCTCTGAACTCCTAAACCTAACAGCTGTTTTGGTCATGTCCATCTGGAAAAGGATTCTTAGGATTCACCAAGAGATTTGTACTCCTGGTGGACTAAGAGCGGGCAGGGGAGTGTCTGCGCTTCTCTTCTGAAATTGCTGCCCTCAAACCCTGCCTAGGTGGGGAAAAGGCCAATGAGGATAATGCTAATGAGATTTGTTTCGATGCATCTAAACACCTCAGCCTTTTTGTTTTAGTTTAGTTTAACAGTGTGATATTGATGTTTCATATCTAAATACTGAGCTGATTGTAAATCCCATCATGCAGGTGGTACATATACCGGACCAAGGTCTCTTAATAGGCTCTTATTTTGTTATCTTAATGAAGAACGTTCCCATGAACCTGTTTGAAAACACAAAGGTAAACTTTTCATACGCCGTCTGCAGGTCTAGACAACAGTATAAGATAGATTAATGCTGCAGCAATTGTGGAGAGAATGATCTATTTGCGGTGCACAGTAAGTTGACTAGCCAGGACTGCATCCTGACCAGCCTGTTTTGACTGACACATTGGGTGTGTATGACGGCTGTCTAGCTGTTTTGACCTGGTTTGGAGTGAGCACAGATCTTAGTTTCTACTTGTCCTGTCTCTTAGGTGTAAAGATGGAATCCAATTGAATATTACAAGTTGTTGGTTTTATTTTTTTTTTTCTAACTTTGTCCTGGTTTGGAAGCACTCTTTTTTTTTCACTGTTGCTGTGTCTCTTCATCACCATGTACTCGCTACATGTTTTAGTAGCCGTCAAGGAAGTACAAGAAAACAAAGGCACGCTAATTGTGGCAGCAACTGCACCTCAGCCTGTTGTAACAGCCTGATCCTGTAGCTCTAGGCTGGCATCTCTAAGTGCCAATGAACACAGTGTCAACTCCAGATCTAACTGGTTTCTTTATTTTGTTTTGTTTATTTTTATATTTTCCGTCTTGATGGAATTTTGGAGGCGAGCAGATGTTTGATTCGCATCCGAAACCTACCTGCTCTTTCCTTCTTCACATAATCTGAGTACGCGAGCAGATGTTTGATTCGCATCCGTAGAAACCTACCTCCTCTTTCCTTCTTCACATAATCTGAGTAGGAAAACACAATACTAAGCACAGTTACTTCCCTGTGATTCCACAAATACCCTCAGGAAGTGTTTAAACACACAGTCACACAATTGCTCTTCAGCCACTGTACACAGCAACACTTTTTTCCCAGGACAGTGTTGAACAGGCCCCACTTGTTGTATAAAGCCATTAAATGGTAAAATGGGATGCTTCCACGTTTACCTTGAGAAGGACTTCTCTGGATGATTTTGTAGCTAAATCACGTATGTGTCAATATTTTGCATACCTCTCCATGCTGATCATTGATTGCCCCAGCATTGTCTCCAGCTGTGTTACATTCAATTTTAGCTTGGAGCCTTGGTGAACTGAAAACCCTGCATGTCACGGCGTGCTGCTTTTCTTTCTCCTTTTATCACATCCTCAAGTCTCAGGAGGTTAAAAGTCAAAATTAACAGTTTGCATGTTAAAGCATGGTCTGAGTGGTTCATATTAAATTTGATTTTGATTAGTGCGATCGGGCAGAAACAACTTAATAATTCATGTGGTGACCTTAGACTTTGGCCATGTGCATGTATTTATTGGGTCCTTTAGTGAAGTGATGAAAAGCGGTTATTTCATCAGAACCTTGTTCTGATAAAGCTAAACTACACGGGTTGTCTTGCTGTGGTCTATACTGAAAAAAAATTAATTAAATTTAGTGAATATTTTTGAAGACATATCACTATTCTCAGGATCTTGTTAAGTACTCCAATCATGGTGTTTTCTTATCTATACAAGTTACAAAATCAAGTGTCTGTTTCACATGTTTGTATGTTTATGTATAAACATCCCTGGGGATGTAGGAAATTCAAGGCTTTGTCCTAATTCCTTTGATTTTTTTTCTTGTTGTTTTAGCTCTGAATGTGACAGTGGAGGAGATCCTCTCTTCCTACAAACAGGCTTGTCAGAAACTCAACTGCAAACCTATTCCAAAAGTGCTTAAACAGATACAGGTAAGACACAACTAACTTGAATGAACATTAACAATCTTTGCAATTTACAGTTTTGTTGCTTGTTAAAAAAACAATTAATATTAAATTTCAACCAAAAAATATTTTTATCCATGAAGTAATGCTGGAAAAAAGGTGATGGATGTGGCAGCCAGGGAAAATTGTGCAAATGCTACCTCCTATGAAAACTCTACTTTAAACACTTTTGCGAGAATTGAAAACGACTACTATGCTGATGATTTCTTCTGCACCTTTTTTTTCCTCTGCACCTTTGGCTCTCTAATTTGCTGCAGCTACTTCTTCTTTCATACTGACATGTCATTACAGGTTTTTGCTCACACAAAGCAGCCCACGGCAGCAGACAGTTCATTCCCTAATGACCCCTTACTTCAGCGTATTAACGACTGTTAAATAGAATTTAATTTGATCATAAACATCTACATGTTCAGCTTTCCAAAGGATTTAGAACTTTTTTTTTCCTTTTTTTTTCCTTTCCTTTAACAATGACATGATATCTTGTCGAATGTCGAAACTACATTTTTTTAAATTCCTTTTATTTAACAGGTAAAAGGAAACATGATTCCCTTTTTAATGTGGTGCAAAAAACAGGTCTTGTAGCTCTTGAAATGTGTTGCATCTTTCCTTTGAAAACACAATTTTAAAACATCCAACCAGATTAGGTCCTTTCTAATTAGGATGCCTACCTATTGTTTCATGAGGTAATTACAAACAAAATAACACGGAAAAAAATCACACCATTTATTGCATCTTTTTCTGTCCCCTCCCTTCTGGCACACCTGTTACACCGATGCAAAAATTCCAGCCAAGTAGGTGGCGGTAAAGTCCTTCATTAATCTTCATTTGGCAGCAAAGAGGAAGAAGATGATCATCGTAGTCCGAGATATTTGCCGTAGTCCGAGATATTTGCCGTATGTCAGCCTAAAAAGAGTGCTCTCTTGTGCTGAGTGTATAACAAACAGTTTTTCTGTCACCGCAGCAAACCTTCAGTATCACCGCCGAGCAAAAAAACGTTGCTGTTTGCAGACACCACAGCTAACCACATCATTAGCAAGGAAATCCTCGCGTTCCCTGAATACTCGATCCCTTCTGATTGTACCATTTGCAAGGTCTTCTAACAACAGTAATTCTGCCATTGTTAATACCAATTTCCTAACCACTTTGCACATGCCTTTATACCCACCCATATAATTGCAAACATGTGGGTGGGTTAATTGTTCAACATGTGTCTCCGATGTATGCATCACTCTGATGACTACAATTTGCCAGTCAAGGGGCTGCCGTGAGACCCACACATTTCCACACTTTCCACAATTCATTTTTGATACATCTGAATGTTAGTGTGGAAAAGGACGTACCCCACTGTAGGGCTGCTCGATTATGACAAAAAAAATCATAATCACGACTATTTTGTGTCATGAAATCATGATTGTTCAAAACTATTTAAGAATTTGCTTTTATTGAACTTTTAAACTTTATTGAACATTAAAGTGACAAAAAACTAAGACAATATATATATGAATATAATATTGTCACATGTTGTGTGTTATTGCCAGTATTGTTCCTAAAATGACCTAAAATGTTCTGCTGTATACTCCATTTTCCTGGGTGCCTTGAACGCACCAAGGAATAGTGTGCATGTGCGATGTTCTGTTCTGTTGTTGGGAGTCGGCGGGGATCATGCCCGGTGTTCTGCTCTGAGCGATCAGTGGGGTTTAGCGTGCGCTGTGGGCAACAACAGCGCCTGTTGATTCAGCAGAAATAAACTGCTTTCCCATTAAAAAAAAACAATCATTTTTCTGCTGCGCTACAATATATGTTTATAATAAATAAAAATAGAGAGTAGACTCAGACTACTGTTTGTGTTCAAGGGGGGGCAGGACGCATGATCATGGTAGGCCAATCGTATCAAATTTCAATTAATCGCCCAGTCCTACCCCCTCTTTGTTTTTCGTGTACGCAATGTTCATACATGAGACCCCAGATGACAGGGTTTAAAGCCAAAAGGCTCCAAAAGTGTTGAATATATAGGCTGTATGTAACTGTTCTACCATTACCTGTAACATCATTTGACTAAGTCGTGTAGCACAGTTTTGCTTTCACTTTCAAAAAGATGAAAAGACAAAAGATGAGTTCACGCGTCGTAGCGTTTCTGACAAAGTCCTCTCGTGTAACAAGTCCGGTTGTGATATTAAGAAAACTGGCTGTTATTACTTTGTCCTTGTAAATGGAAGTCCCATCGACAAACAAATTGCCTTGTTCTTATTCTGATGATTGCTGGGAGTGGCCGACCTCTGAAGCAAAGACACACGAGCACTTTGTTGTTATGTCTCATGCCGTTGCTCAGTCGCTGCATTGCACATTCATGAAACCTTAAACAGGTACTTGGGCCTTTGGTTTTGTTCAATTTTTCAAAGTCAGACCTACAGTTCGGACTGTTTTACCTCAAGCAGTTAGATAATAATAATAATAATAGTAATAATAAAAATATGCACTGGGCGTGCTCCACAACTGCCTTTCTGAACCTGGACTGCTGCAGAAGCAGAGTTGGTGAAAGTAGACCCAGCGCCACCTGTTGTTACAGTGCAGATTGTACTATTGTGAAATAAATTATTCTCCTACTGTGTGCAAATGCTTGCACATAAACACCAGTTCGGTTGAACGACAAAGTCCGATTATAGCTGTTGATAAGCTCGACTCCGAGATAAACCTGATGATAGGAGACCCGCCAATGAGCACTGGTCAGCTGACCGGGGAAAAGTTCTGTTCACATCTCAGCCACTTGTGGAAAAGCACATCCCCGTGCTAAGCTGCTGCTGATGCTGTAGGCTTCATTTAGTCTTCTGCTCTTGGTACATTTCCACTGGGAAATGCCTGATGTGAGATCTGCGTTCCCCACCTTCTCTCCCCTCAAATCCTCCCTCATGTTCTGCCTTTTTTTTTATTGCCTGTGGTTACTCATGTCTGGCCACTTTTCATCCCTCCTTTTCCAGGCGGGTCCTTTGGTGCTCCGTGTTCCCGGCTTATTTCTGCTAAGTCATTGGAGCTCACCAGTCGCATAAACAAGCCTAGTGAAAGGAGGGCGAGGAGGAGGAGGCTGGGCCATTTACTGATGTTTCTTTTTTGAACTCTAAATGCTTTCTTTATGAAGTCCAAAGGCCAGGTGACTGCCCTACAGCCCCCTGAACATTTCAGGCCAGTTGTTTGTGCGTCTGCGTTTAGGCAGCTCGTTATTTAACAGCTGTATGTTGAATGTGTGTTCAGCACAACATCGACTGGAGTCTCAGGACAAAGGCTCCATGTAAGGAGCACTGGCTAGCTTTATACGTTGTGTTGGGCCAGAAATAACTACATATATGGATTGCCTACACAAAATCCCTATCAGTGACAAAGTGACAGTCTGAGTAGGCCTCCGTTTCTACTCTTGAAAATCAAAACAGGTACTAACAGCCTAGCAACAAGAAGAGTCAGATAAGGGAAAATAAAAATAAGGGGTCTAATCGCTGATGTGAAAGGTTAATATGGTGGTTACTTCTCAGAAATGAGTCATTAGTCACTGTAGTATAAACTTGATATCACAGCATGTGGTTAACCAACTACTGACTTGCTGCACAGTAAGAAAGTGAACTACTTGTCATTTTGTCACACGACCATATGTGGCCTCTGCTTTTAACCCATTACCAAAGTGAACAATGGGCAGCTTTAAGCTCAGTGGTAACTTGGCAGCTGGTGGACTCGCACCTGAAACCTTCCCGACCCAAGTCCGCTTCCTTAACCACTAAGCCACAGTAGCTAAAATAAGAAAAAAAAATGAATACACACGTACGCATACATTCACACACCAAACGAGCTCGGCAAAAAAGTTCTCTGTCTTTTACTGTATTAAATTGAGGAAACAACAGACATTGTAATGAGTCAGGGCAGATGTTGGTCATTCCACCGTCTGAACCGCAGCTGATGCTGCGTGTTCCTGGGAAATGCACTGGTGTTTGATTCACAGCTCAACATTTCCAGTATTATGTTTGTCTACAGTTATATACGTTTTGTTTGTTTTTTAAAAAAACGCCTGCTGTTTTTTCAGGGTTTTTTTTTTAAACAAACTATCCAAGCCTAAAAATCAGCAAGGTGTAAAAAAGTGCTTGCATGTAAAGATATTCTCCATTGTTGGCCAGGTGATGGCGCCATGGTTGACATCGATAGAATTGGGCATTTTGCACATTGTTACATCATATAGTTTGTCTCCTGTTGAAGCTTTGGATAATATTGAATTTCTTAAAAAAGTTAAATAAAATAATAATGGGTTCATTTGTTCAGTTGTTGTCAGTACTGTCATAGTATCAATACAGTAGGTTTAGTATCAGTAGTGGGTTGGGTGTAAGTGATTCTTAACAGCTGTGAGAGATTATCAAGCTTACTGCAGAAAATTATCCAATGTCTCTAGCTATCATTTATTTACTTCAAAAAGATTGGTCTTTGTTTGTCTGAGCCAGGGTTTAAAAAAAGGTTGGGAAACGGTGTCTTAGTGGTTCACTTAGAGAAACAAAACTTAACTGACGCTGCATTTTTTGTTGTTGTTTTTTTCATTGTCGTTTCTGAAGGAATTAAAAGACCTGACACAGCGGATTGAATGCTTAGATTTAAAAGGTAAGCAAAAAAACTTAAACATCTGGTTGATGCTTTACTGACTTTTTAATAAAGATGTAGACTATTTCAAAGGAGCGAAAACCCGTGTTGTGGTTGTGACTGTTGTTGTGGTTTAATTAGTGTCACTGTGCGTCCCCACAGGTGAGAAGCTGGACTACAGAGCATGTGAGTCTCTGGAGGAGATTTTGAAGCGAGTTCAGTTCAAAGTGATTGACCTGGAGCAGACGAACCTGGACGAAGACGTGAGTCAGCGAAAAAAACAAAATTCTGACGTCCAACACCAGTCTAAAAATACTTTAATTATTGTCAGATCATGTGATATTTCAACCATAAACAGATGCAAATTTCTGCAAATTTATTAGCATCATTATTTGAGTTTTAAATTTTCCAAGATTTCCATTTTATTCTATAACAACAAACAATGACCATATTCAATTATAATTTCTTTTCAGTTCAGCTGTTGTCGTATAAATACCTTTATTTTTCCTTATTTCATAAGTGCCCCTCCCACCTCTCATAATTCGTTTTTTTAACTGTACTGGCAGGATTTAAACTTTTGGCCTCTGTTTTTTAATGTATTCACATGTCTGCTTGTGTAAACATCATTATAGACTGTAGTACGGTAGATGTTCACACACATGGCGCTGTGAAGCACAAGGTCCTGACCACTTCCTGTCATACCCTGTTCCGAATATACTCCTCGCAGCAGTGAGTCACGCAAGCTGTGGGACTGTGTCTAGTTGTTTCTCCACATATCACAGCTATAAAGGGTTTTGATTGACATTTCCAAATAATTTTATTTGCCATTATCAGGTCCAAACATCTGGTCTCAGTGAGTTGTGATGTCTAAGTCATGAATAATTACTCTTAAAACTTTTATTTTTGGTAAAAACTTTGTCTTGCTTTTAGTTTCATCTCCTGGCTTGACAAAATACAAAGGGTACCCACATGGTAAAAAAGAAAAATGAATAATTTAAAGAGAGAAAGCTAATATCTTTTTTTCTTTGTTACACTGCCCTCATGTGGTTAAAAACAACATGGTAACGCAGCAGTTTACAGCATTTGTATTTTCTATTTTTGTCACTTTGTAGAAAAATGCATTATTTAATAATCATCAGGTCGTGCCAATTGATTATTGATAGAATACTGTTGAAATTAGAGTTTGGAAGAATTGACTTTTTTTCTGTTTTTTGGTCAATTTTGACTGATAATTGTAGGTGAAAATTAATAACAAGCCAGTGTAAAGAACAAATTATGTTGAAATTATTGATCTAAATAAAATCCCTTTTTTCATCTGAAAAAAAAATATGAATACTTCTTAACACAGACATCTATAGAACTCCCAAATACTGCAATTGCATCACACCCAGCTGTGACAAGGGATTAATTCAAATACAGAGCTGTTCATCTTTTCCACCACCTGAGACCCTTGTGTAACCAAACTGTGCCTCTGGTTTCCTCAGAACTCTGACCACAGCAGCTAGTGCCTGGTCAAAGTAGTCACGTTAACGACCTGGTCCTCCTTTCCAGGGTGCCTCAGCTCTGTTTGACATGATCGAGTACTATGAGTCAGCGACACATCTGAACATCTCCTTCAACAAACACATTGGGACACGTGGATGGCAGGCCGCAGCTCACATGATGAGAAAGGTAAAAATTCTATTTACCAAGTATAAAAAAAGTACAAGTATATTAAATATTATATATATTTCCATTTATGTATTTCTATTAATGAAATATAATTCTCCAAAAAAAACCTGAACATGAAGTGTTTGTGTTTATGGTATTTTTTTTCCAAATTCATCAAGTGGGCCTGATTGAACATCCCAGTGGCTGGTTTTGGCCCGCGGGTTGTATGTTTGACACACTAATGTTTGTTAGACACTAATTCACAGTCACAGCCATTTTGCCTTGATTAAAGGGGAACAAATTTGATTTTGACTCCAAAAACAATTACGCAAAAATCTAATTTAATGAAGATATTAAAATAATTTAGCTACATTGCGCTCTGCAAGTACTGTATTTTTCGAACTATAAGTCGCACTTTTTTTCCTTATCCTGTGGCTGGGTTTGCGACTTATACTCCGGTGCGACTTATATGTTAAAATATATCATTTAAGTTATTTTCACACTGATAGCCTCTAGAGGGCACTGGAGCAACTTAAATGTTTGGGGGGTTTTTTTCTTATTCATTATGCATTTTTTAGCTGGTGAGACTTATACTCCAGAGTGACTTATAGTCCGGAAAATAAATATATTCTTTTATTACGTTGCCTTGACCTACTTTGCCAGCTATGGGCTAAGATTAACAAAACATCTTTCCCCTTTTGATAATAATTTATTAAACTTGGAGGATGAGTAAATATTAGAGATGGGCATTTCAAGCAAAAATACATACAATAATTACAGTGAACGAATCGATTATTTTTCAAATATTCGCTCCACCCTCCTCCCAGCAACAAAGACAGAAAGAGCACCACAATTTTCATTCCTCTTCCTTATTATTTTGCTAGACTAACTTACATTTCATAACACAACCCATGTACTTAACATGTAACAGTACGCAAACACAGAAATGAGTAAAATTAACCGTCACCTCCTCATTAACCCCAAAACGAACCGATCACATGAACATTTTTAACGCACTCGTCTTCGAGTGATCGTTCAGTGTGCTTCTACCGGGTGTTTCACTCTCATATAACCTGCGTGGTTGTCATAGGTTTAAAAACTATGTGACTTTATAAGTGAAAACTCATCATAGGGTTGATCACACTTCAGTAGAAGAAAGGTAAAATCAAACAGTATAAATTTGACAAATTATCTTACTGGCTCGGAGCATTTCTCTCGGTACCAAAACAATTGTTTGATCACAGATAGGGATAGGCTATTAGTTTTTCTACCGAGCTATTTGTTTTCCTTATTGCTGGAGGCTAAGTTTGAATCACGCATGGCAAAGCTGCTGTCTGTCTCTGACGTGCGCTACTGCTTGTTTGCAAGCTTTTTATTTATCTTTTCTGTTTTTAGAATGTGCCTTCAGCATTTACATTATAAAGTTTCGTGACAGACTTAAAAATGTCAGTGTCAAATCCATTGCTGCGTAGTCTACTGGCGACTATATTGTGCCATTTGTCACTCTGTATTCAATGCAAAATTAAAAGTACTTTGTTTGTTTTTTTCACCCCAGACAAGTTCACTGCAGTATCTTGATGCACGGAACACTCCTCTGCTGGACCACTCAGCCCCCTTTGTGGCCAGGGCTCTCAGGACCAGTGGCAGCCTGGCAGTCCTTCACTTGGAGAATGCTGGACTGTCAGGCAGGCCACTGATGTTGCTGGGTAAGGAGCCAGGGAGCTGATAGGAGGAGATCTAAACATTCTAAACATTCTAATCGTCATTCTTTTACTGTTTCCTCACCTTCCTGCAGCTACGGCTCTGAAGATGAACATGAACCTTCGAGAGCTGTACCTTGCAGACAACAAGCTGAATGGGCTGCAGGACTCAGCCCAGCTTGGCAACCTGCTCAAGTTCAACTACAACATCCAGATCCTTGACCTGCGTAACAATCACATCTTAGATTCTGGTACATGACTGAAACATTCAGTGGCGTTGAAGGATTCTAATCCTGTACAGTTATTTCATCCCTTAATCATTTCTACCACAGCCACGTGGCTTTTTAATCCATTTTGCTCATAGTATGTTGACCTTGGAGTATTCTAGGATTAATGGAACAGCTTAGCCATAATTATTCTGTCTCAGATTTTTGTTTGTTGATGATAGCACAGTGTCACAGACTCATTTGTCAAGTTGTCTTGGCCTTTCCTGTTATCAAGATTTAAAATTTATACATTTACATTTGCGATGAAAGGCATGACTTTTTAAAAGTTAAATTGAAGATTTTTTTTTTCTTTTTCTCCTTTAACCTCACTATATATTTGGCCCATGTGCTTTAATAGCTCACCTTTTATCATGTAGGATTACTTTTCTAAGGTAAACTTGAAAAAAAAATCCTTAAGCAATCATCATTCGAGGAGAAAAGAAAAAGCCCACCATTTTTTTAAATATTTCACCCCACATCAAAGTAGCTTTTATTTACTAATAGCAATTTGAATGTCCCATCATCCATTGCACACTAGCTCCAAGTACACATACAGGCACTCATGTGGTCAGAAAAGAATTAGAATTGCACCAAACTCTTACATCAGCATTTTTCATTGAACACTTTTTACACTCGTTTCATTCTTCGTCTCCAATTGTGTTGTCTCAGGTCTGGCCTACTTGTGTGAAGGACTGAAGGAGCAGAGGAAAGGTCTCGTCACGTTGGTGCTATGGAACAACCAGCTTACACACAATGGCATGGGTTTCCTCGCTGCTGCACTGGTACAAACCAACACACCTTTGTACAGTGCATGTTTTCATTTATATGTCATTCCAATCTGGTTAATATCTGCTGGTACCAGCAGCCAATGACAAATGAAGAGAGTAATTTTTTTCGATTAGAGGTAGAGACACCTTAACGTGCAACTGGTTAATGGTTTCCTTGTGTACTTTATCATTGAGAATTGAGGGTGATTTGAAAATCTCCACTCATTTACAAAATACATGGATTTTCTCCAATAACTCAGGATCAGGATATGTCTACAGCTTGTGTTACCTTCAACACTTTAGTTTTCATCTTCAAACCCCTTATCCTCTTTCTTTCTCTCTCTCAGCCATGTACTCAGAGTCTGGAGACCCTAAACCTGGGCCATAACTCAGTGGGTAATGAAGGTATCCACAAACTGAAAGACGGGCTGATTGCCAACCGCTCTGTGCTGAGGCTCGGCCTTGCTTCCATCAAACTGTCCTGTGAAGGTGAGAACTAGGCTGGTGGTGACAAGTTGACTTTTAGTTTCCTGTAGCTCTGTATATTCTGCTTCATATTTCCTCCTGATGATCCCACTGTAGGAGCTGTTGCTGTAGCTGAATTCATCGCTGAGAGCCCCCGACTGCTTCGCCTGGACCTACGGGAGAACGAGATCAAGACTGGTGGGCTCATGGCCTTGTCGCTTGCTCTTAAAGTCAACACCTCTCTGCTGCGTCTCGATCTGGACCGGGAGCCCAAGAAAGAAACTGTGAGTTTTAGAATAAATTTTTTTAAATAAAAAAAAAATTCAGTTTATTTTCAGTTCTAATGACGTTCAAAATATTTTTTTGATTTTTTTTTTCAGGTGAAGAGCTTCATTGAGACCCAGCGTGCTCTGCTAGCTGAGATTCAGAACGGCTGCAAGAGAAACTTCATACTCGCCAAAGAGAAGGAGGAAACTGAGCAGAACATGAGACAGTCTGCATCCATGGCTGAAATTGCCACAGAGGACGGAACCAAAGAGGAGGAGGAAGAAGAAACAGTTTCAACAGAAGGTGTTGACAAAGAGGAGAAACAGGGAGAAGAAAGAGAAGAGAGAGAGAAAACGGGAGATGAAGAACAGGTAGACAATCATTCAGGAGTCAGCTGTGTGACAAACATAGAATCAGACTCAGACACTGAGGATGAAGAAGAGGAAGTGACATCATCATACACTTGCCCCAGTCAGGCTGCTCCTAAAACCCAGACTGGGGCTGCACAGCCATGCCTCAGTGCCTCACAGACCTCTTCTCCACAAACGAAAGAGTCCACTGCTGCGGGACCTAGTGTCCTTTCAGGCATCACTGTCACAGAAGCTAAGGCTCCACCTGGCAATCCTCCCTCTCCTGGTCGCTGTATATCAGTTTCAAGCCCGGGGAGGGGTCACAAGATCTTCATGGTGACCCGGGTGGAAAGCCCCCCCGAGCAGAAGCAACAGCAGCAGCAGCCGCTGCTTCACTTTACAGCGCAGGCAGCCCCCAGCCATAGTAAAGAAGCCTTAGAAAAGCCTGTTGATGCAGACACCCGACCAAATGCACAGCAGATGCAGCCGACACCTGCGTCTCCAACACCTACACCCCTGCTCACGCAGACAGAGGACTGTAAACTGACAGAGCAGAGTCCTGTAGCAAACCCAGACTCTGTACCCAATACTACACTGTCCCAAACACTAGAGCCAGAGGCATCACAGCAAGCCCGTGAGAACGTTCGAGCTTCTTCTCTAGAGCCAAATCTTCAAGCACCAGCCCTGCCTTTAGGTTCCTCAGCAGAACAAGCTGTAGCATCTCTTCTCAATGAGAACGCACAAAGCCAGCAAACCCAGTCCTCTGGTGTGGAATTAGAGAAGTGCAGAGAGGAGAAAGACGGTGCCACAGAAGAAGGCCAGGAAGTGTCTCCTCCTTCTTCCGCAGAGAAAGGAGATGAAGAAATGTGTCCAACCCATGTCACGCCCTCAGAAGTGGAGAACCAACAGCCTACGTCCTCTTCTGAGCAGCACCAGGATGAAGAAGCGTTTTCATCTCCAGAAGAGAAACTGTCACTACGGCGACAAGAAGAGGAGGCAGTAGAGGAGGAACTTCCACGGCAGGAAACAACGGACAGTTCATCGCACACCAGAACTCTCACAACAACGCAGCAGGAAGACAATCAGACAACACACGAGGAGCCCAGCCCACAGCAGCAGGCTGAGGCAGATGATCAGAAGGTGGACTCTGGTCTCCTCATCATGTCGGATCAAAACACACCGTCTGCAGCAGTGGACGCAGATCCTGTAGAGAATCTAGAGTCTACAGAAACCAGGGTAGTCTCCCAGGTGGAGGTGGAGGATTCGCCCGACGAGAGCTCTGCCGATGAGATGGAGTCTTTTGCTGACACCCTGGACGGAGAGGTGGTCGGTCCACTCCTGCCCAACGGCCTGAAGACCGAGTTCTCCCTACATCTTCTGGATGCTGAAAATCCCAAACCTGGGAGCTGTGTGATGGAGCACGGTGAGCTCTACATTTTTTGTTGTTTTTTTTTTTTTTGGGGGGGGGGGGTTCCATGATGAATACATGTTTATTAATTTGATTTTTTTATCACAGTGTTGTGATGTTGTCTTTCATAATTTCCATGCATGTTGATGTGTTTTGGTTTGCAGTGAGTGTCAGCTGTGGACAGGAGCTGGAAGAGCTGCTGTTAGAAGCCAGTTTGGACACAGGAAGAGACGGACCATGAGGTTACATGAGGTAGGTTGTAGGCCACAAAGACCCTAATTAAAGGCAATCGCTGTTAAAAAAAATCTGCAAGCATGTGAGGACCATATGTTTACTTTGGTTTTCTGTCTTTTTGAGATGAGAATAACAAACGAGGAAATGATCTTGACCTTTTTTATCGACTTTATTTCCTATGTTGTGGAACATAATTCCTCTCTGCTCTTCTCTTCAACATCCTCCAGGACCAAGAGGACAGAAGACCAGGGCAGTCACGTGGTTGTGGTCCAGTGACCACCCTGCAGTGTTTTGGTTGATTCACTGACTTTCCCACCAAAGCTCCTTTAAAGTACAGAAAAGGCTAATGTTTCTGTCACAGCTCCGTGTATACAAAAAATAAATAAATAAATAAAATAAAATAAAATGGACCATGATGCAAAAAGAATCTTCTACATCAACACTACACAGCCGTGTGCACACCGAGTGAGAGAAGAGGGAAGAGAGATCGTCTCACCCTGGTATCACTACGTTTTTGTTGAGCTGCAATACTGACACAAAAGCAATTTGCTGTTTAAGAAAGAAGAGCCTTACAGACGGAACAAGGAGGACAATGCTAACCAAAGACAGAAGACACAGCTTTCTCTCAGTCTGTATTTACTCACTGGTGTTCATTAGCAAATAAGGAATTTTCGCAACATAGAGGGCGGGAGATTGGAGGTTGAGGAAAATGACATCGTCCAAGCTGACCCTCCTGAACTGTCCCACTGGATCTGCTCCTGAAGTGGACTATAATCTTCACAAAAACCTGAAGATGTTGGTGTTTCTTTTTCTCTGTTTAAATGTAATGTTCTTGTCCTCATTCCCATTCATTCTCTGTCCAGAATGGAACAAACAGCTCCACAGGATCTTTGCCAAAGGGACTTTCTTTCCTCATGTCTGTCCTCTCTTGTCTTTTGTTCACACTGGACCCTCAGGAATCTTGCTCTGCTCCTGCTTCTCTGCCAGCGCCTCCTCATCTATGTCAGATTCGGACATGCAGGAGCTGGAACTGCTCCTTTATTTTATTTTATTTTTTTTGCCTCTACTAAACTGAATTGCAGCAACAAACACACAACTTCTGTGGATGACATAATAAAAACAACAAAACAAAACAGTGCTGTAGGTTCTTGGTTGGTGTAGATTTTTGGGGTTTTCCTCCCGGTTCTCTGAACCTCTAGTCTTTGTTGTTAATGTTGTGGAACTGATCATCCACCTCCAATTTCAATTATTTTTTTCTTTCTCATCTTCCATTGGTGTTCTGTCCATCTCACCTCACTGTTCAACACTCAACACTCACCATCCATGCTGGTTATTTTCCCCCAGCTGTCTTTAGGAAATAAATTGTTTTCTATTTATTTTATAGTAAAGAGATTTTTTTCCTCATATTTCCCCCTGTCTTCACACCTTCCTTTTTTATATCCTTTATTATGGGTTGCTTTTTTAAGGACAATTCCTTTTTTGATGTATATTTCAGCAGCAGACTAGAGTAAGTGTTTTGGGGTTCTTTTTCTGCGAGGAATTGTAAACACAATTAAATAAATTGACTATTCAATGCATACGATGCAAATGAAAAATTACATAAACTTCCTTGTTGGAAACACTACGGTGCTGAGTGAATCAACAGCACTGCTGCGTGTCTTCACCCTTCAGTGGAGTCAGTAAAAATCATTCAGATGTAACACTAACAAATGTCCCGTTCTGTCCAAATCTGATCCTGAAATGGAGATTGTTTGCATTTACACAAAATGTTACTGTATTAGTACTGTCTCTGAAAAGACACGAGCAGGTGTGGTCTCTTCCTCCCCTCCATAAAGAATTTGCCCCAAGTGTTTGTAATGCTTTAATTTTTAAGAAATTTTAATAATTTGTTAACTTAATTGCAATATGCCGGTAATCACCAGGATATGTAAATCCAAATCCATTTTTTCTCTCAAATAAATGCATGTAATGACCAGTTGTTTTGCTTGGTGTGTTTTGTCTCAGATGATCATGGATGTGTTCTGTGTATGTACTTGGGTGACTGGGTCTTTATCCATTTCTATTTGCTATTCTTCAACTTACAGTTTGACTCTTTTCCTCATTAGACTGAAGTGAGGTTCATCCAGCTGGATCAGGTTTTTTGTGTGATTTGTGTACATATATTTACCAATGTATATATATTTAGATATGTGTATGTATAGATGCAAATTATAAGTCATCAGGTTTTTACATGTATTTGTATCACAATGTTTTGAATTAGACTGTTAGTGCTAAAACGCATTCTGGACGTTTTTGTGAAAGGACAGTAGTAAATACTTCCATGCCGCGTCATTGCTTGGCTTAAGTCGTGCTTAAAGAATGTGTCAGCAAGATGGTGGTGAAGTAGGAGTTAATCTGTGGTGTCAGCCCTAAGCTGATCTGCTGATCACAGTCCAGTGGACAGCAATCCCCTCCTGCACAGTGGTCTCCTGCAGCATGGTCTCAGGGGAGGGATGATCACTGAAGGGGTCATGAATGTTGACACAGGGACAAAGAGTCTGTGACCAGACAGGTTTTGTCTTTGCGTCCAAGCCATATCATACACATATGGTAAACATGTTTTATGCTGTAGACAAGCTGAACCCTGCAATATTCATGATCATAAACCCGAGTGTAGCGCCTTGAATACTTTATGAAGAAGAGAAGTTCTACTCCAGACAAATATGCAAACTTCAAAGTTGCTGTTCCCAGTGAGACATATAAAAAAAAAAAAAAACTTTGATAAGATGAAGTAAAATACCATCATCATCAGTTATTTATGGTGCCACGTGCAATAATTAGTTTACAGGTGGTCTTTTACCACCAAAATAATTGCACAGACGAAATCGAATAACTATCGATTATGCACTATCAATTATTCATGTAATCGACTAGTCTACTGATTATTTTTTTATTAACACTTACATTCATTCTAAACATTATTACAAAAGACGAATTTAGTGCAGCAGTAAAATAATAAAATTAATAAATTATAATTATACAACAGTATAGGTGCAGGCAGAAACGCAAGCCACAAAGTCATCATTACCTAATAAATCTTCAAATCTTTTTAAAAAAAATGAAAACCTACTTTGTCCAGTTGCTTTCGATGTAACTATTTTTTGGATTAAATGACCTGGATGACTGAGGACCTACACATAACCTAATAAATTCCTATTTGACGCTGATTTTTTTCCAGTTACTCTCTACCTTTGCGGCTCGCCACAATAAACATATATTTAAAAAAAAAAAAAAAAATTAAACATTATCATGACAAAGTAGCTCGTGGCTTCATTTTATGTTTTCATGTTGACCCGCCCCTCCTTCCCCCGTTTGGCTGGAAGAGCTACGCAGTTCCCGCCGCCTTATTTTCTAGAACATTCTTACTCTTCGCCATGGACAAAATCAATTTGAACGGGGGTCTGTGAGATTCAGACTTCTTTATGGGTTTTTTATTATTATTATTTTGTCGTGACAATAACCGAGATGTATTTTTTTATTAGCTATTATATTTTTATTATTTTTTACGCTGGTGAGATGATACGGAAAACCTCCATTAAAGCCCAGATTATATCGGGTTAAAAATGCAATCCTGACCGAATGAAAGTTTTTTGTTCTGCGTGGAAAATCCAAATGTGGAGAAGAGTGCTGGATGTGAGTACCAGCCACAACCTGCAGGCTCACGTGAATATGATTAGAGTAGGGGAGGGATGAGGGACAGGGAGAGGGTGGCAGCGTGGGGGAGAGGGAGGCAGGTCCTAGTCCTAGTCTTTTATATTTACCTCCACATTTTGTTTCCAATAACCTTCCTTCTGTTGAAGTACCTGGATTATATCCTGCACACCGAGGTAAAATTGATGAATCTTTATTAGAGTAGAGAGTAGAGTAGAGAGTAGTTAATTTTCATAAGAACTATTTTATCCATGCCGTCAGCTCACACCAGGGTATTTGAAAGTTTTAATCTCTTAAAAACTCGCAGGTTAAAGCAACTTTTTACATACACGTGTATTATCAGCAACCTGTTGAGTTTTGTGTCTGACAACAACATTTTTCTTAATTCAATTTTTCTGTTATCTTGATCATTTTTTGTCAACATAACAAAAATATGCATAAAATAAATCACAAAATTTATTTAAAAAGTTGAATTGCTTTAGTTTTTGTTAACATGAACAATTTTTGCTAGTGAATTTTCCCGGGTAATTATATTCGCGACACTCCCTTGTTTAGGCTAGTGAATTTAGGCGGGTAATTATATTCGCGACACTCCCTTTTATTTTCTTTCGACTCCTTTTCTTGTTTTGTAAGTGTTCTTTGGATTTACTATAATAATGTTTAACGTTTAATAATGTTAATGTTTAGGTTTTTGGGCGTGTATGGGAAGTAGAGGGCGGGTGGTTCGTGCTCACGTTATATGACATCCTGAGCGCGATTTACAGATGCCTCGTCACAATCAATAAAACGTGCTAACGTCTTTGAAAATCACAAGTATGATGTCATTCAAACTTCTGAGCACTAATTAGTTAAACGTGGCAGCAATTTATATGTGTATATATAAACACTCACGGTTTATTATACCTAACGATGTATATTTTATTCCCGTGTATCTCGTTAAGTAATGTGAGCACGGTGTAATGCAAAATTAATAAAATCATTGTTACTGCCAACTACGCTCAGGGGTGCATGCGCAGCGTGAGTTCGTTTGTGTGAGCTAATCACGAGCTAACAAAAAGAGCACACGCCACAGTTAAACGAGTTCACAATTTAGAAAACTCACAGCACGTTTTCTTGAAGCCCCTAAAAATATTGCTACGATCTCTCACGGACTGCGTGTGTTTGTTTTATTGACCGCCTCACTTGGCTCAGGGTAATAGTCCTTGGGGTAAATAGATTAAATGGCATAAAAAGTAAGAGGCAATTTGCATGTTACAAAATAATACATATATATGTAAATATATATATATATTACAGTTATTGTAACTATTTTGGTTGAAATTTTAGTCGTTTAGTGAGGGAGAAAGAGCGAACACTGTGGTGCAAGCTCAGATTTTAAAAAATGCAACATTTATTGACAAGGGGCAAAATCCGTTCAAAACAACAGGGGTAAAAGGAAACGTGACCTCTGGTTTACCAGATAAGGAAAATTGATCTACTTGTCATTGTGACACAGCACGTCACTGCACACAACAAAATGTGACCTCTGCTTTTAACCCATCACCGAAGTGAACAGTGGGCAGCTTTAAGCGCTCGGGGAGCAGTGTGTGGGGACAGTGCCATGCTCAGAGCACCTCAGTGGCAGCATTTCCCACAGCCTTGGTATCTATTCTAAATAACTTACTAGAGTATTTTCTAATTGAAAAATAATAATATTATTTTTAAACATTGTCACAGGCAAGATGTGTGGGGGGGAGGGGGTTGTGTGCTGGAAGTAGGAGTTCGGCCCGGAGTTTGGGAACCCTGTCCTAATGTCGTGAAGTAGGAGTTTGGCCCAGAGTTTGGGAACCCTGTCCTAATGTCGTCTCTTGGTGTTGCAGATATGAAGTTGCTTCTCTGGCCACTGCTGGGATGTACCAGCGTCCTGCTGCTGTGTGAGGTTGTTATCAGTATGATGTCCTCGTCCACCATCTTGCTGATGGACAGTTTCCACACCCTCTTCATCCTCATGACCATTTCTTTTAGCATTGTAACAAACTCTCAGGACTCCCGCGTTTCTCTCTCTACGTCCCCGTCTTCTGCAAATGCTGCATCAACCTCCCCAGCAGAGCCCCCCAGTGAGAGTCCACCTGGTTCTCATGAGGTCAACGACGGGTCCATCACCAATGAACCCTCCTCTTCTCTGCCTAACCATGAAACTGCCTCTCCACTGGACTCTAGTCAAGTCGACTTTCCCACGGTATCTGCTACAGCGCACGGCTGTGGCGTCAGTTTCAGCCGAGGCAGGATGGAAGCTGCAGGAGAATTCATTGCCAGACTCACCTTGTCTTCTCTGACGATCTCCTACTCACTGGACATGATCAGCATGTCCACAGATTCCAGACCTGTGCAGAGCGGTATTTGGCTGGTGTCTGTGGGACTCGTGACTCTAGTCTTCAAGACCGTGGTGCTTGGGCTGTGTTGGGATGAACTGCAGGAGAAGAGGAAGCCTCCTCTGAGAAATCCACCGGAAACTTCCAGGATTGAAGTTAATCAAGGAGGTACTATATACCAGCTGTACTAACAATAAAGTATTATAGTTATTATTATTACCGTTATATTATTGTTATATCATTATAACAGATCATATTAAAGTATTGTTGTAAGTAGAAGTAGTATTGATTAACTTCAATACAGTTACAGCAGCAACAATAGTACATTGTTTACTATTAATATCATTATTAGTAGTAGTAGGAGGAGTAGTGGTAGTAGTAGTTATGATCTTACTATACTGAAGGACAAGACAAGACAATTTCCGTCTGTCTCGTTGGACCACTGATCATCGTGGACTTCCTCAGTGTATATCCAGCTGTAAAGAAAATGAAAATGTTTTTTTTTTATTTCCCACAGCCTTGGTTGCAGAAGGATTTACTGAGCCAGGACAAGAGTTGAAGGACGCCGCCCGAGTCCAATCTGAGGTGGACAACTCATCTCACAATGGGGCGCTTGTTCTCTGTAACCCTGGAGCCCTCAGAACCCCAGAGTCTGAGAGCCAAACCCCAGGACGACAGGGGACAATTGGTCAGTTGACTGAAGGGACCTGCTCATCTCAGTTTGGTTCAGACAGGACCGCGTTCAAAGCAAATGACAACATGGAACACCTTGGTACACATGGTACACATACAATTGGACAATGTTATTTTTACCTCATGTTCCAAAAATGGAATGTGTTTTGCAGCCATCAGCATGACCTGAACTAGTGGTTCTCAAAGTAGGGGCTGCAGCCCCGCTAGCATGGAGCTGTTTCAGGGGTCAATCAAAACAAGTTATTTTGACATTTTAATTTCTAAATGGTGGTGCTTTGGCACAGGGGCAATGTCTCTATCGTTGGTGTGGAACCCCAGGGTTCACCTCCTGGGCAAGATCGAATCCCAATTAGGGCGGATGGTACCTTCCAGTGGTCTCACCACCCACAGGAAGGTTCAGGGGGGTTGGTACGGTGCAGTGTGATTTGGGTGGCAGTTGAAGAGACTGCTGCCCCTGCGACCCGGTAATGGATAAGTAGATGAAAATGAATGGATGGATGGAATTTCTAAATTTGTGCTAATTACAATTTTTATTTATAATTTTTTGAGCAGTCATTTTTTTAAACGTTAATAACAGAGTAGCTGTTGATCAATCAAATTAAATAAAAACGATTCTTAAATATGACATTAAACAATAATTATTCCTGTATATCGCTGGAACAGAAACAGACTTGACAGTAATTGGATGTTTGTGTTTCACATCTATTTTATTGTTTTTATTGTGATTTATCCAAACAATGGGATTATAGATTATTATATTATTATTATATATACTATATATACAGTGTGTGTGCGACTGCTTGAAATGATCGGATTATAAATATAGAAAAATGTCAACAATATTAATTTCTGTCTGCAGTCCTCTACAATCCCTTTAAAATACTGACATATTTACTTCGATGCCTTTGGTGAGGTTGGCCCAACCCAAGCTGGGCGTCTGATCTGGAGTTGGAGCCTCCACAAACACATGCTGCGCAGTCATGGTATATGGTATTTTAAGGCTCTAGGCACCTGGGTTAAACTAAAACTTTTTCCCACAGAATATTTGAATGTGTATTGACTGTGTATAAAAGAAACAATAAGCGGGCCACTGTTGTCTCTGTCCAAAAGCTGATGGTTCATGGACTGAAAGTTACCCACAGGCCAGAAGTTTGAAACCTCTGTTTTGTTTCTGTTCCTGTGATTTCAGACCAAAAAGAATCTCAGATTTTTACGATCTGCCAAAATCTCTCCCCAAACAACCCTGCAAGTTCTGAGAGCAGAAGCCGCTCGTCGTTCTGGTCTCAGCCTTCTCTCACTGTGTGTGAAGTTCTCCTCACGCCTGTTCTCACTGTAATCAATAGTGCCTTGCAGCTAGAGCTGGGCCGCCAGCAGCCTGACCTCACCTGGAAGATTGACCTTGGCTTCTCTGTGCTGGCGTTGGTTGTACTCAACACCACAACTATACCACAGGTCATTCCCGTTTATTCCGGGACTTTCTGATTTGATTTCCTAAAGCCCAGATGGAACTAAATATTTGGTGACTGTGGTGACCTTTTCTCCTCTAGTTGTACAAGTTTGGACGACTGCTTCTTCAGGCTACACCCTCACACATCAGTGTGTCTGACCTTGATCGCAGGATCTCTGACATCCCCGGAGTGTTGGCCGTGCATGAGCTGCACATCTGGGAGTTAAGTCCCTCATTCACAGTGGCCACTGTCCATATACAGTTCCACGCTTCGTTTCCAGTATACAAGTAGGTGAAAAGTACATAGATAGATAGATAGACAGATAGATAGATAGATAGATAGATAGATAGACAGACAGACAGATAGATAGATAGACAGATAGATAGATAGATAGATAGATAGACAGATAGATAGATAGACAGATAGATAGATAGATAGACAGATTTGTTTTGGTTTCAAGCTTCCTGTTACTGGCGAATTGATTGAATTTGTATTTATAGAAGTCTGAAGATTAACTATGACCAAAATTAGACACCACATTAACATCCTATGTTCTATATGTTACAAAGCTTTGCTTTGCTTTAATGCTGTTAGTGACATATACATGTACCAGAACTATTAAAATAGAGTGATTTGGTGTCTACAATTATGTGTTTATTTAATTTAATATATTTATGATTCATCATATTAATGACTAACCATGTAACACATCTAGGTGTGCAGATCTAATTCTAGAGGTCACTAAGGTGCTGCAAGTTGGAGGAATTGGCTGCTACACCATACAGCCCGAGTTTGACACATGCACCGAGAGCGCAGCAGCTGCACTTCCTTCTCCTCCTATAGTCTGTAATCTGACGTGTGGAAAGAACTGCACAGAGCACATGTGCTGCAGTTTACTGGAAGAACAGACCAGCAGCATCACAGCACCATCAGCTGGAGAAACGGAAGAAACGCCTCAGAGAGTTGTCATAGAAAACACCAATGAATAAATGTTGTTATTAACCACACATTTTACTGGGAAAATACGACATATCTGCTTCTTTTTTTTTATTTTTTATTTTTGCTCTTGTAAATCCCACTTATACCAAAAGTTATAATTAAAAGGCTATGTTTGTATAATTTCCAAAGAATGTTCAAAAAGAAGTTACACTCCGCTTTTGATATTATGCTAAAAGAGATGTGTTTTAGTGATGTAAATCTACAGTATAAAGAATATTATAACGTTGAAGGAATGTTATTTTCTTCAAATTGAAAATGTGTCAAAAAAATGGACCAGTTGAGTTTTTATTCCTATTGTTTAATGTTTTAAACAAAAGGTATATAATAAGAGATTAAAATATAAATAAAACTACATAATCGTCTACTACATTTACTATTGTGTTTGTGTTTAACTGTATCCCGAAGAATATCGATACGAGAACGGAAGATATGGCTCCACCTTTTGTCGCTTTTACAGCCAATCAGATGTCTACTGTTTATCATATTACCAAAAAAAAACCTTAAACCTTGCTTTTTAACGCTTATTGTGAATATATTCTTGCACATTGGAGTTAAGTTTGAGTTTCTGTACGATCTTTAAAATTGACTCAAACAAAAAGCATGACAACATTAGTATAGCGACACCATGACTAAGATTCCATTAGTTTGACATTGCTCTATATACAGTGTGTGCGCGTTTTCTTAAATTGCCCGAATGATCCTCGGTGGTCCGGGGTGCAGGCTTCAAACCTGTAGCTGCCTAGCGGCAGAGTGGTTCAATTCCACCTTTCGGGCGTGTGAGATTATTTTTCCAAAATTATGTACAATCAAATAATCATGTAAAGATTTAGGTCGCATATACATATTCCTAATATGCGTTTCCTGTCTTATCTCACGGAAAATGTCGGAGTGTCTTCAAGCATATCTTCCTGTCGTTACAAAATTGTAATCAAGACCACACTGTACAACTATGACACAAACCATTTGTTTATTAGCAATTGTTGAACGTTATAGAAACGTTTTTCCAAAACAAATGTGAATTGTAAGTTGTAAAGTCGATAGACGTATTTCCGGTTTGCCCGGAAGAATATAATATTGATTGGCAATCTGTTTAACCAATCAAAGTAAAGTTTGCAGCTCAACATCCAATCAACTGCGTTGTCAGTGTTGAAGGTGCCATCAGTGTGAGGTTCACGTTGTCCTTGCTTCGTTTCACTGTTTCATGCATTAATAATAAAAGTGAGTTTAGGTTCGATACTGGTGTTTGTTTGTTTCAGGTGTTGGTAAGTAGCTATTGGATCTATTCATTTTTCTGACTTTTTATAGTCACAAGGGTAAAACAGAACTGTTAGACCTATGTTGTTGACCCATGACAGTTAGCTTTCTGCTAAAGAACGTTGGTAATTCCGTAACAGTGAAGATGGCTTTTTTGGAAACAAAAAACAAACAAAACTAAAATCAACCATTTATTGTCTCTGACAAGAAATTTCTTTTTATCTGTTCTTAATGTTAAACGCCGCGCGTAATACTGGGGTTAATACATAAAAGTTAGAACTATTTGGAAACCACAATATATTATTATTTTTAGTTGTAGTCTTCCGACAGCTACCGAGACCTACGTTTTGGCTAGGGCACTTAGAGGGAAGAAAATAAAGGGACATTTAAGGGGGATCATATGATCTCAGAGCAGCCACAACATAAATAACGACTGCATGAACTAACCTATTGTAAAAACTCTCTATTTAGATTGTCAATTTATATTCAATTGTTGTAAAATTTCCGTGGACACATGTTGTGTATGTTTAGAACCTTTTTTGTTTCAATAGTGACTACTGTACTGACTACTAATGATGGTGATATTCCATCTCACCTTGTTGTTTCTTTTAGATTTGACATTTGTGATGCCTCTTCACAAATACCCTCCCAGGATCTGGGATGCTCTGAAACTGAAGCAGGGCATCTACGCCCGTCTTCCCAAACACTACCTCCAGTCTCTGGAGCCAAAGACAGCCACGCCTGTTCACTGGAAACCTCACGAAGTGGAATACAAAGTCAACCCAAAGACTGGTGTGAGGGAACGTGTGCAGGATGCTCCAATCCCCATCTATTATCCGCCAGAATCCCAGGACGGACTATGGGGTGGAGAGGGTTTGATAAAGGGTTACAGATATGCCAACAATGACAAAGTGAGGAACTTTACTTAGTCATCATAGTAAAGCAGTTGTTCAGAATTTGGTATTTTCTTCTGTGTTTAGATGTTTCACTGAAATTTCTTTTGCAGATGTCCAACCGTCTAAAGAAAATCTGGAAACCAGAGCTTTTCAAAAGAGTATTGTACAGTGAAATCCTTGATCACAAGTTCACCATCACCGTAACACTGCGGACTCTGGACCTCATCGATGCTGCCTATGGCTTTGACTTCTATATTCTCAAAGTAAGCCACCACCTTGTCTACGTTATTTCAAATTAGCTGAAATGTTCTTGAGTGGTTTTAGGGCGATTATGAAATTTCTGACTTCTTGTAGACACCGAAGGAAGACCTGAACTCCAAGTTAGGAATGGACTTGAAGAGAGCCATGCTGCTTCGCCTGGCACGCAAAGACACACAGCTTTATCCTAACGATGCTGCGAAAAGAGAGATGATTTACAACAAATACAAGGTCGGTCCGGATAAGTTCTAGTTCCAAAGACTGACTCTAAATTCACAAAGTGGAACTGGCTGTTCAGTGGCTTAACTGGTGTTTGTGTTTGTCTGAGCAGCAGTTTGAGATCCCAGAGGAGGAGGCAGAGTGGGTGGGTCTGAGTCTGGTGGAGGCTGTGGAGAAACAGAGGCAGTTGGAGCACAAGGTACAGTGACTGATTTGCCCAAATTGTGTGGACCCAAATCTGATGCTAACATTCAAGGTCTTTTGTACATCATCATTTCTGTCTAATGTTCCAGGAGCCCGAGCCACATTTTAAGATCTTTGTGGACGAACTGATTAAGGAGCTAGAACTTCAAAAACTGTCAGAACCGCTCGTAATAGAGCAGAAATGACCAACGCAGCTGCAGGATTAAGGATTTTCACATTGATGGAAAAACTGAGTAGGTTCCTCTGTGAAGTCTCCACAGATGGTTGTGGGAACTGGAGTGAGTGATGAAAGATTCTGGAAGCTCTCTCTGAGAAGGACATAATGCTGTTTTTTTTTATTTAATTGTTTTTGTAAAATTAAAGTGTAATAATTTGGGCGTTAAAACACACATTTTTTAAAAAGCGGCAAATATCTCATGTATATGTTTCTATTTGGGTCTTATTTCTAATGTTTTTTTCCCAATCTGGTCCTTTTTCCCAACATCCTAGAAATATGAACACAGTGTTCACACACATGAAAGGAAAGTCACCAAAAACAGTTTCTCGCCAGGTTTCGCTTTCATGTCACCTCGCCTGAGCTGCAGCAGTTGTAATGGCGCTTTGTCTTTGTGTTTACAGCACGCTGCTACTGCGGTATGATGGGAAGTCCTTGTAGAGCAGGGGAATCCCGTGGGTGTTAGCTTGACAAGAGCATGGAAAAAACAAAAAAAACAACGGCACCTGTAAGCTGAACTATTTACACAGACTGGAAATACCCTTTAATTCTGTTGTGAACAATTCAACAGCTAGACTGCTTTTTATTTATATCTATCTATCTATAAATATAGATAGATAGATATATATATAGGTTCAAGGCTTGATGAGCTCACCAAGCTAATTTTGTGTTCCATTTAACCAGTGCTCCTGTGTAATTTTGTTTCGCTCCATATTGCACATCTTCTGTTAGTCCAATGAACCTAGTTTCACATCTGGAATATTACTGTCAGTTTTTTGATAAACCAGAATGAAGTTGCTGGTCCAAACACCCAATGATTTATAAATGGGAATAATGGAAATAAAATAATGTCAGGGGTGCCCAAACCTTTTCATACCACCGTATATATATGTATGTATATATATATGTGTGTGTGCATCTATATGTATGTATATACGTACATGTACGTGTGGTATATATTTTAATACATATATGCATATATAAAGATCTATATATATGTGTATATATAGATAGATATCGATATACAGTAGATCAGGTTGGAGTCCACCAGCTGCCAAGTTACCACTGAGGTCCTCTGAGCATGGCACTGCCCCCCCCACTGTTCACTATGGTGATGGGTTAAAACAGGTCACATTTGGTTGTGTGCAGTGGGGTACTGTGTCACAATGACAAGTAGTTCACTTTCCTTCA